TGTAAGCAACGATTAACCAGTGCTAACGAAAAAAAAGTTCTGAGCAGAATTTGGTTGATAGTGTTGCTTTTTCAAAAGTATGTATGCCATATTATGGTAAAATAATTATAAATGTACTATATATCTTCTTTAATAATATTTGTTTAATATTGTAAATCGGGACAAAAATGCTGGTAAAAAAAAAGTAGTCCACAAAAATAAAAAAAAGAGTTGATACTGAGAATAGGAGCAGCCACTGTTGTAGGTGAGAAGTTAAGAAGGTAGGATACATTAGGTTATTTTATTTATATTTGTAAGCAACGATAAACCATTGCTTGACGAGAGACGATTCCGAACGCAGTTCGGTAATACATAATTTGAAGTGCCGTATTTTTTTTTTTTTTTGCGATTTTCGTTTTAATTTGATTTCAAAACGCTTATTAAAAAAAAAGTCATCCGATGATTTTGGAAAATTTACGTCTAGGTAAGTCCAATATAAATATTATTACCAAGCTTCAAGTCTCTACGTGTACTTATAACCGAAGTCAAAAAATTCCCAAAAATTAAAATTCCTTAAATGCTCAAAAGTTTTGACGATGATACCGTAAGAGAGTAAATTAAAAAGGTAAAAAAAAAGGTATCTTGTGATTTTTCGATTAAATCATTTTTTCTTGTAGAAAAAGTCATCCGTGTTTTTATAAAATAATAAAATCGTGAAATTATACGTTTTCCCACTTAAGTGCTTTTATTTAAAAATGGCGTCAAAAGTCAAAAAAATACCCGTTTAAAGTACAATTTAGACAACTTGAGCTTTTAGAAAAGTTTCTACACGTAAAAATCGAGGCATGTTTACTAGGAAAAAACGTGTCCACAGACTAAAACAAAGAACAAAGACAAACAAAATAAACATCTTAGTAAAACCAATAGCTGCGCTTGGAATCTAAAAGAGAGGAGATTTATCCTCTTGCATCCACCTCAATTTAAGCACTGGTTCTAAATTTGTCAACTCCAAAAATGTGGACTCTAAGTTCATTGGTTCCAATTTTGTTAGTTCCAATTTATATCGGTTTTAACTAATGACGGTTCCAATTTCGTCGATTCCAAAACTGTGGTTTCAAATATTTATTATTCAAAGAATTTTAGACATACCTCTCTCTGCTGTTTCTGTACATTTCTTTATAATGTCTATGGTTCTTTCGGCTACGGTTTATTTCTTTAAACTAAATAGGCGTTAACATTCAATGTATATATATATACAATTTAACATAAAATAAAAATGTATAATTTTTTTAGAAAAATTCAAAATAACAATTTTGTAAAATAGATTTTTAGAAAATTTTTGGTGGTTGAAATTACTATATTTTTGTATGGTTTTTTATTTTCTGTAATTTTTTAAATTTCTTGAAAAGGTGAATATTACCTATTATAATTACTCTATTACAATAATTAATCAGTTATTAGTCAGGGCCAGTGGCTTATTTGAGAGGGAACGATAGGTGGATCGTCCTCTCCATGGAGTTTTTTTGTTGTAATTTTTCGATCACGGGTAATTTTTTGTTTATAATACATATAGGGATTTCGATGTGGATGTCCAAACAGTAGTCATTTTAGATTGGTTTGTAGGAGAAAAATAGATTAATATTGTTTAAAATTATTGTAAATATTTTTGTGAATAATTGTTCAATATGAATATATTATAATGTATACCGTATACAAATTGTGTATATTATGTTACGGCCGTTACGGGTAAACGCCGAAATCGTGCAAATCTCAGAAATGCCCGGGCAAAACGCGAAATGTCCACAATACTTGAGCAAAACGTCATATTTCGGTTTTTTTTTCCGGACAAATTTTTATAGTAGTGACCAACATAATTTGGCCAAAACTGTAACACCTGTAAATTTCAATTTTTCACATTTCTGAGATTTGACCGATTTCGGCTTTTGATCGTAACATAATATATATATATATATATATATATATAAAACATTTTTTTTTCTTTATACTATTAACTATAGTTTATACTTATAATATATTTGTTTTAATTGTCAAGGAGAGGGTTTATAAAAAAAATGATAACTGTTGCTTTTTTTAAGATATGGAAACACCTCACGATATTTTGTGGTGTAATACTATCTTTAAACCGCCCCCTCCTTGATTGAGCTCCAGATATGCCACTGGTCAAGGCACATAACAAGGATTTTCTTTTCCATTAGTTAATACCATGCAATAATATTATCATATTATATGTATTAGGTCGTATCAATCAATCAATAATTTGTCATTTATGTTGATAAACAATATTGTTATGATTGAAAAGAAAATTATTCAAATTTTTAAAAAATCGTAGAAAATAAAAAACCAAAAATATTCATCAAAACTATATTGAATAGAAGAAAAGTTATTTCAAGTGGCAGATCATTGTGGGACACCCCGTATATGCGTGTGTAAAGTATCGGCATACGAAGATCATGCGACGGCGTTCGTGTTTCGCTCGTCATTATGCCGGACTGGCGCAGCGAAACAAAATAATACAATTTTTTTTTTTTTTTTTACGAATTAATAATATTTAATGGCCCCTATATGCAGTATTATAATATACGCCAGTACCGTTATAATAACGAGGGACGGAAATAATATTATGTACGGCCGGGAGCTTATAGTAGGTAACTGCGCAAAAGACGACTATTATTATTAAGAGCCGACACTGCCGTCAGTTATACTGCACGCAAAAAAGACTATGTTCGGTAGGCATGCTGGTGTCCGGTTTCGACCTACGTCAAGTTTAAAGGCGCGCCGACTTGGTGGCCTTCGCAGGAATTTCATACGTCTATACGTCCGCACTAATACGATAATAATTATTATTTTATTGTTACGGGCGACCCTCTTGACGCACGAACAAAAAAAAAAAAATGAAACGTTCGCGAGCACATATTGTCATGTTATAGGAGGGGGGGGGACTTGTCGCGCGTCACGTTTTAATATTAACATTACTATACCGAAACTGTTTTAAAAAATAATACATGAGCGGTACAACGTTAACAATGTTAAAACGGATATACTCCCCGCGGTGTCTCGATTCGAATTAGAGCAGGGTCGCCCGCGAGGGGGGCGACAAAAGGGGCCATTGTACCCCTCCATAGGATTTTCAACTGTATGTACTTTTATCATAACAATATAATAGATATTTCCGGAATAAAACGTTTTCCCCGTTTTGCCCCAGGTGGGATTTCATCCTGTGGAGTGCGGGCGCGTTTAAATTATCAGACACACGAGACAGCGTTTGTCCGACGAATTCGATTTATTACGGTTTAATAACAACAATAATAATAATAGTAAATAATATTATCAAGGGACACGGTTATAACCGTTTTTCTTTTTTTACCTAGGGGTGAAACAGCGATAATGTACGTTATCCAAAAATCAAAAAACTCACGGCGGATTCAATTGGTATTATTCGATTTAAATAGTTACCCGAAGTTTTGTAAAATCGACACGTTTTCAAAGGGCGCTACGACCTCCAAATCGGAATTCGCCGACTCGGTTTTACTGTGAAATATGCCATCTTTTATGCGTATCATCTGGGATAGGTATGTAAGGTTTGGTATATTGTACAAAGTAACATTTTATTACAATAATTAAAAAAAAGCCGTAACATTTTTATAAATTAATATTTAATTGAAGAGATATAATATGTAATTAATGAATCTATGAAGTCACGTTCTTTAATTGGTACGCTATATCATGCGACGATTTTTTCAACACGAGTTGTTTGTGTTCGAAACGATCGCGCTGACGCATCCTACGAACGTTTTAGATTCTGAACCCAGCAAAGAATGCGTATCTGTTTAACTATAATGTTATATATTTTTTTTTTTTATTCGTGTGCGTATGGATTTGCCTGTGTACAATTTTTCTACCAGAAAAGTTGCTCCGATTTTCAAGTAAATTTTTTCTAGTTGATGGAGGTCATGTTTTGATTTTCCTTGTGATTTTCTCAATAGTTGGGAAAAACTGAGATAAAACGTAAGAAAAACGACAGTAACGGGGAATAACGCAAGGACATGGAAGACTAAATGGACCATTACGATAATAGCCCGTACACGAGAATTTTCAAACAAATATTGAACAAAACGATTGCGCGAAGGTATTCTCCCATCCGCGGTCACACAGCGCACAGATGATGAGAGTCGCGGGAGCGCAAAACGGTGCAAGGAGAGGGTAGGAATACGCGAGGAGTCACGTCGTTCGATTCTTGCAAAAACAATCTTAGATCGCCGCCGCCGCCGCCGTCGTCGTAGAACAGAATACACGTTACATTTGTTACGAATGCTCGCGATTCAATTAGGATAATTATTTCAGTGGCATAAAAAACGCACGCGGATAACCTATTATACACGGTATCGATATTGTTAAAACGCCGCAGCCGAGCCGCGCGCTATCTTCAATTTATGGTAAAACTATGCGTGTATGTACTTGCATAATATTATCACCGCGATAAATCGCCGCGTGTGTACACGTTATTATAATATGTTATACGCGTATAAATCGGCTCGTATAATACAACCGCGACCGCGGTTAAAGGTTATTATTGTACGTAGGTACGCGCGTAACGAGCGAAACGTTGTACAATAATAATACAAGAACGTACGTTATATTTTGTCGTCGGCCGTTATCGCGGACGATACCTACCCGGGCATTTAAACGTTACTGTAAAGGTTAGACGTCTTTTCGACGATAAAAAAACATTATCTGTATTTCCGCCGCCGTCGGGGTAAACGGAACCCGGGCCCGCGGACGACAGCCGCCGACGGTGTACGGCACTTTTAACGAGTGTAAAAACGCCCGTATCCACACTGTATCGTTTGTTGTTGTGCGCCGACCCCGCTGTCGGTCCGATTGACAAACGTCCGGACCGCGGACCGTTTCGATTGTTCCATGTTTTGTAAATCCCGCCTGAGAAACCGCCGACGCCGCCGTTGTTTTTCGCTCGACCGAGCGCCGATCCGGGCCGGCTGACGTTATTCAAAACGTCCGTTGGGCCGGCTGTTCCGTATCCAGCCGCCCTCGACAGGCAGCCGGTTCCTGCCGCGCAGAAAAACTGGATATCGCCGGTTACACTGCGAAAACGCTACGGCTGGACTCGCGGCGTAATTTGAACGTATCAATGGAATGTGAAATTTGGCTCTTGACCGGACCTGGGTAACTTGTACAGTAACGTCGGAGGACAGCTCCGAGAAATCGCGCTCATCGTCGATTTGTCCGGAAAGCACTTTCAGAAGACAAAACAAATCTGACTCCGACCTCCTGACTCCTAGAGATGTTACAACAGAACGTATCTCAACGTTTTATAAAATGGTTTATTGTAAAACAAATAATGTTTTCGAAAATGTTTTGTTTTTATTTTTTACGAGGCCTCCCTCCCTCAACAACTAAATACTAATTACGCATAATAAATAATGGAGTCTTAACTGCTTCAGCTCTACCATTACATTACTATAATATATAACATTTGAGCTACTTGCATCTGCGATTATTCTTACGTATATTACATATATAAACACAGAGTGATCAATTCAACACGAACTTGCAACAATTTGTTCGGGAAATTTTAAGCGAATTTGGTTTTTTTTTTTTTCATCACTATGGAATCGTTTATGATTTACTTATTTTTATTTCTTATTCTCACCCCCCCCCTTCATCTGCGTCTACACACTGCCATTTCGCTATTTAATCCCGATGTCCTCGTATCTCATAAAATAAGTTAAGTATGCACTTTTTCTTTGGTCCGTTTTTTCAGTGACAGATCCAAGGAGGACAACGGGGTTATTTTCCACCCTCCCTCAAAATACCGTAAAGTAGTAGTATATTTTGATTCACAAGGCTTCTATCCGTGAACTCATTCATAGTATGAATTTCATACCTACGTTATAAACAATTGGTTTTTAAATTCTAAATGGAAGACCTTTTTTTTTGCATTCAGTTTAATTCCTGGGTTCTCATTACGGTCCTGACTGCACGGAACGCTCAAAATAGAGGTCACGGGTTGTGTGCGCCGGGGGTCCATATTAGTTAGAAGACTTATTTTATTAAAATGGAACAAATAAGGAAGAAAAAAGTTCTCAAATATTTAATTCAACTCATAATATGATCTTTGTGAGTCCCTATTTCTCGCGGGCCCCGGGTAATTGGCCCCCACTGCCCCCCTTAATCCTATTCTGACAGCTATAAGTACCCTTTGGTGCCGTTTTGTGCCACTTAGAGCCCTAAATATTTTCTAAACCTGTATAGGTAATAACCGGCTTAATACATACGCGTGTCTTACGCGAAATACGTGACGTACATGCGGTTATCAAATAAACGTCAAGAGCGAAAAAACGACCCGTCGTCGGCGCTGTATTGTATAGTAGCTGAACACACAGTTATATGTATTTTGTGTTATTATTATTTCGTTATTTTTCCTCACAATAATAATAATATAACCGTAGACAACAATGACGCATTGTAAGACCCCCAGAGTTAAAAAAAAAAAAAACACTCGCGTACCAGTGTTGTATCTGTGTAACTGTGTGACTGCGGCAGCGTGTGCGTTATACATCGTTGCCATCCGATCCAAACCCGACGACATTCAAAACTGCAGAAAAATACTCTCTTCGGGTACCTACCTATACATAACGTTATTCGTGCGTTACTAAGTCGTGGTGCTCCGTGAACTGAAACACAAATATACAGTTAACTATAATACATATCGAGAACGATATTATTATAACTATGTAATGCACGCACTATACACCTGCCGTTTGGCTTTTTCGCATTATACATACTCTTGCCGTTCTTCCGACTTCGCCCGACAGCGTTTCCGCGGGATCTCCAAAGTTTCTCATACAAGTGCGCCGACCACGGGATGTACGCCTGTGTAATAGAACAGACTTAAATGTCATGAATCATGTACGGAAAAACAAATAAAACAAAACAAAAAATACAAATATAAAATAGCGAATACGCCTATATATACCTATATATATATATATATACGATATATTATGGTGAATTTAACATTGACGGTTCGCCGTATCTGCGCGACTTAAAAAAACGATTTTATCGTTCTGTCCTTCAGGAAGTTGTCGTATGCCTTCGCGAGCGCTTTCGTCTGGTGTCATAGTCGACAGAAATGAAGTACTTAAAAACAAAAGCGTCCCTTGCAATTATTTTATCTCAGTCTAACCCATAGAGGGGCTTCACCCCTCTCACCTATCTTACTCTAGTTTTTAAACATAATTATTAATAATTAACGAAAAAAAAAAAAACACTTATTACACTACTTACTGCAAGCAAAATTAAAACTTTTTTATTTATTTCAGATTCTGAGCGCAGTTGGTTTGACATCATAATAATATATGCGTGTTTTTTCGACTTTTTTTCTGCCCGTAACGACTTTTTTAACAGAAATTTCGGTTCCGATCTTCGACACTAGGAGTGGTTTCATGTAGGCAATTTGCGTAGTTGGTACGATGAGCTTGTAATTTTTTTTTTTCTTATAGTTTGCTTAATGATGGGGAAAAACCGAGAAAAGCACTGGAAAAGTGGAATATTTTCACAATAACGGTTTTTATTTTACGTTTGATTACGTTTTTTTGTTTTAATTCAGTGACACATAATCGTAGATACACCACCAGTTTTACAGAATATTTATAAATATTTTATATTTACTTTTTCCAGACATAGAAACGTACTAAAAACATGTTGGTATTTTCAAACTATTTAAAGTGATTTTACATTTTCGCGTTTTTTAAGGTTTTTTTGTTTTATACGGATAAAATGTATTTGGCCCAACGAAAATGCTCGAAAATTGAACACACGATTTATCACGACTATACAATCGGTTAGGTAAAAGTTAATTGGTGGTAAAAAAAAAAAAAAAGCTGAGTGTAATATAACGGATATAATTTATTTGTATAAGCGTTTATACAGTTTAAATGTCAATGAAAATGCATTTTGAAAAAAAATCGGAAAATGTGGAACCTCATCCTATTTCCGCTTTGAATGAATAACAGAGGTACGCTAAAATTTTCTGAAAAATTATCCGAAATACTCCTTCCCCTCGCATCCCCTCCTCCATCAAATTATTTTTTACGTAATATTTTAATAGAGTTTTAAAAATATCTTTACGATTTGTCGGTATATCGATACAGTTATACCTATATGGGAAACCCGATGGCGCAGAACCGTTTTTTTTTTAAATTTTATTTCACCTCCCCGTTCGACTGCACCATAATATTATTAGACTCGAACGGAACGCTTAAAATCGTAAAATTCCAACCTCCAGTGACGTATGTACGCGTCCGGCTGCGTCGGCGAACACAACGCCGCGGGCATTCGCGACAATGTAATAATATAAACGTATAGGTACGTCGTCGTCGTCATAATATAAGTACCTGTACATATTTTTACACAATTTTTTTTTTTTTCTTCTTATGGGAACGTTGCGCGCCTCGCGATTTAACGAAATTTAATGCACGCACATCATACCTGCGTAGGTACTCGCATTAAAATGCTTATAATTGACGGGGCGCATTTTTTTTTTTTTTTTTTTTTTTAACGCGGAATATTTTAGTTCGATTTTTTTATTTCGTATTACCGGTCGTAAAAAAAAAAAAAAAAAAAACTCACTTAAAACGCGCGCGCCGGTCCGACGTTATGAGAACGATATAATATTATTATTATTATTATTATTATATATTATTGTAAAATATATATATTATGTGAATGCACGCGTATGCGCATCACGGACTCCCGGAACAGATTTATAGCCGATCTAAGCAGTATAAAATATATTATTTTACACACGCCTCCTCGAGGAAAACGAGCTAATAGAACGCGCGGCTCCACGAGTCTGCGCGCGGAGCGTACCCACGGCACACGATGTATATAATGTATACTTGTATCACACAAACCGTGAGACAAACACATTTATAATATTATAGTTTTCAACCGGAAACTTTCTCAGGGTTCCGTCTTTCTCTTCTCGAGAGGAGGCAGAGAGAGAGAGAGAGACAGAGAGAGACGACGACGACGACGACGACGACGGTGGTCAATATTTTCGCTCATCGCGTCTGAACATAATTTTATTATTAAACGTACCTATAGAATATAATAATATTACCTATAAAACGTATGAAATATAATAATCTATAACGTTTATAATATACGTTTAAACGCGTTTATGTAAATAAATCAACGCGAACCGAGTTACCGAGCAAGTTTGATTAAGTACAGTACGTCCGTTGTACATATTATCTACCAGGTTTCTTTTAATTGTATTTTTTTTGTCAAATACGTGTACGTCATTTTTTCGACACGTAAACCATATTTTCCACCGTTGATTTTATTACGGCGCGTGTATAGGTATACACAAACATCGTAAAAATAAAGATCAACAAAACGTTGCAGATAGTAAAATATGGGTGGGACTCGTTTTCGCCAAAATTAATACCTTTTCCTTTTCCGCCAAACGTGTCCCTTGCCGTTTTCCACCAATATCCATTTCCGTCAAAACACGTTTCCACCAAATTGTTCATTGTATATTACAATGTTTAAATATGTAAATATGAACTATGCCAAATTTAAAAAATTGCTCGTGCGTCGGCAGGCTCTTGACCGACAGTCGAATCACTGACTCGCGACGCAATACGCATAAGGTGTAGGAAGGAGTGAATAATGTAATTAAAATAATCACCGGACACTGAATACGTTGATATTAATATCAGATTGAAGTATTGAACGGAATATTATTGTAAATGAATTGTTAAAAAACAACTATTAAATAAAATAAAGACTGATAATTATATAGTTTACACAAGTGACAAAAATGTGTACGTTATGTTCTAACCTATAGGCGTGTCACAATATACTAAATATTATTGTATCTGGTGATACCAAAATAATTAAATGTATATCTTAAAATATGGTTCGTAATACACATATTATGTACACGAACATCCGTTCCTTCTAATGATACTGTATATTACTATAAAATAAATAATTTGGTGGAAACGTGCATTGGTGGGAAAGAAAAAGTTTCGTTCTGATGGAAAATGATATTGGAGGTAAAACGGCAATGGACACGTTTGGTGAAAACGTTTATTGGTAGAAAAGAAAGAGGTGGAAAATTTTGGTGGAAAACAGTGATACCCTGAAATATGATTACAAATTACATATCTATATTCAATTAATTTGTATTATAAACATATTACAAGTTGTCCTGTCCGGCGTTGCCCGTACCGATATATTTCTCCTCTTTTTGTGGGCCGTTTAAATGTAGATTTTAAAACGAAAATCCTATCATAAACCCGATGTCGGTAAATCCAGTTTAACATGTATACCCACTTTTACCTCAGTTAACCGTTACATGTAATATTTGACTTTAACACACCCGAATAATTATAACAATAATAATAATATTTTTTAAATGGTACACTAGGTATATTCAGCACTGAGTACGGTGACCAAAATAACCGACAAATAAAAAAAGAACTCCCGTTTAAGGATCATTTTAGAAATCTTGCTTCCAGGTACATATACGAACCCTTACGAACCCGTTCCTTTATGTTTCCTTTTTTTTGTAGATTCCAGAAAAATATTTTCCGGGTTTTATACGGTCCGGACATTTATTTTCCGGAATAATATGGCGCACTAATGTTAACACATATACTTTTGATTTTAGCCAATAATTTATGCGTAATAATAAATACAATTATCTACTATTATTCGACCAACTCAAATGCACCCCTAAATTCGCTGCGCTTAGACCACCGTCCATTTCGCCAACTTCTAGTTACGGCATCAACTTGATATGTGAATGTTTTATCCTTTGAATTCCTACTATACTCTTGCATATGGCTTCATCAACTCGGCAAAAAAAACAATTACGAAATTAAATACAATATACATAAGGTCACAGAGCCATTAATGAAATATTAATTACAGGATCATTAACATATACACTCGAATCCGCTTAATTGGGACACATCGGTTGCATTTTATTTTGTCCCAATTATCCGAAATACAAAAATGACATATACATTTTTTGAAATTGTTTTACTATTGACTTTATTTAAATTTTTTATTACATTACAAAAAGAAAAACACGGTATTATAACTTAGTTATTTATAAAAATACATACATACATAATTAATATAAAGTACATATATACACATATATAATGTACATTGTATTTTATGTTATTTAAAAAAACTATGAATATTACTTTGTTTCTTGCGTATTATTGATTGTTGACGAATGTAGTCCGAACAAGCATCCAAAGCATTTATTGGGCTTCCCTCATTTTCTTGTTGAAGAAAAAATAGTCGATTGTTGATTTCGGTATTCCTAAAATTTCCGAAAGACAACCAGTACTACAGCCTGATGGCTGTAATTTAATCTTGTCGANTACACGCGACAAACACGACTGATGCACCAAATAACATTCAACGAATTCAACGAAGAGGAAAAATTTCCTTTGTGAACATACGATAAGATAAAATTTAATCTAATAAACGATTACGCGAGTCGGTCGCGATTTCCGAACTACTGATCTATTAATATACTCGATAAAAATGTCCCAATTATCCGAATTCGTGGCCCAGATAAGCGGTGAACGTTTACCCTACAAGTATACATTTGTTTTCGTAATTGAAGAATTGTCCCTATTAAGCGGTTGTCCTTATTAACCGGTGTCTCTATTAAGCGGATTCGACTGTATTTACAGATTGGGTTTTATGCAATTCGCTTTTAAAAATAAATCATGTAACCGAACGCTATATACCTTACCTTATATACGGCGATATGAAACTGTACGGTCCGATCAGTGGCCGGAAATATTAG